GAGGGGCCCCGGAGTTTCAATCGCACTGTACGCGCGCGCCCACACGTGGTATTTTGTGGAAGAGCTACACGCAAGGGGCCAAAGAGCCGCGTGTGGCTCGCGAGCCGACCACTGCTCTAGACCAATGCATTTACTGACAGTAATAGGCAATGTAGAGTTGGTTTTTGCGTTTTAACTACATTGTTAAAACCTTAGAGGGTAATCTTTGTGTGGAGGTATACCATTATTTTTAAGCAATCATTTCAGAACTTCTAAGTTGTATTGTCTTCATGGTTACTTGGGGGAAGCTACCTACTTATTTCAGTGATGCTGTCATAATTCAAAACTGTGTTGGAAATTCTCTTTGGGATGGTGTTCAGAGATCTCACATATTTTAATAGCCCCAGTTGGTGATTAAATCTTAAACTTTTAAGGTAGATTTGATTATATAAATGCTCCCAACATGTTTCACAGTTAGAGCCTCTCTAAGCTTCAGACCTGGGTATCCAGTAACTTGCTCCTCCTTTCTTATTTATCTTCCAAGACCCAAACCAATCATCTCCTTGTCCAAATCAGCATCTCGTCCAGGGTTTCCTGCTTCTTTTTTTATCCACATCCAGAAATCTACAACCAGCTCACAGAATTATGGAAAAAATGATGAAGATAATTGTGTTTAGAAGTTGTTTCAAGCCACTAAATTTTGGAGTTGATTTGTGTATCAATAGATAATTGATCTAGAAAGTTTCTTACTGTCCTTAAGCCAAAGAATATTCTAGAGTGCCCCCTAAGTCACTGTATGTTCTGAACCCACTCGTGTCTCACGTTCTGCTTCCATTGCCTCTTTGTCCTTAGACACGGGCTTTGGAGATCTTTGGATCCTATGCTCTTTCTGCTGCAAAGCTTTCTTGTATGCTGTTCCCCTTGCCTTCTGGCTTTCACCTGAGGAACACCTACTTGTCTGTGAGCTCTCGGTGCAGCCTTTCCTCCGGCCTGTGGACAACTGAAGGTTCTGTGTGGGTGCTGTTTGTTTGTTCCGCCCGTTTGTAAGTTCCATGAAGGTTGTTCTGAGTCTGGTTTTGTGTCCCATTGTATCCCATAGTAGGACGCAGTAAATATTTGTTAAATTAACGGGTGAAGTTGCCTGGCTGGTGTGGCTCAGTAGGTGAATGTCATCCCATGCACTGAAACGCCACCAGGTGGATTCCCAGTCCGGGCACATACCCAGGTTGTGGTTCGGTCCCTGGGGTGTGTACCAGAGGTAACCAACGCTTTTTTCTCCCTCTCCTTTCCTGTCTAAAGTCCATGAAAAATATATATTAAAAGAATTAATGAGTGAGGTGAGTGATAAATGTGGTGAATGAGGTGTGACAATAAAGGAAGGTTTTTTTGCAGGGGGTTTCTAAACTGCCTCTGAAGGTAATTATAAGGGGCTTTTAAAAATGTTCTGAGCAATGGGGGAGACATTTTTAAAAGAAGTGCATAACCCTCCAAGGTGGTTATATAAGAGAGGACTATTTTGAATTTATAAATTCATGTATGTTTGTTACAGAAAAACTAACGGTAGTGTAGTCATACATTTTACCTCTTGGTTTCCTCCAGTCTTCCCAAATGAGTAGAAGATGATGGGAATGGTATGTAAGTATTCATTAGTTGATCCAGTTGGTTGCTAATCCTGAAAGTGGTATGCTGCTTTTTCCCTTTTGGAAATTGCTCTCCCAGCTTCACGATCAGGGGTGAGGATGGGTAGCAGGGAGATGGTGAGGTGGTGGTTGTTTTTTAATCCTCACCCGAGGTTACGTTTTCATTGATTTTTAGAGTGACAGGAAGGGAGAGCGAGAGAAACATTGATGTGAGAGAAACATGGATCAGCTGCCTCCCGCATGCCCCCCAACTGGGGACCAAACACACAACCTAGTTATGTGCCCTGACTGGTACTCGAACCCGTAACCTGTACCGGAGGATGCTCCAACCAACTGAGCCCCCCGGGGAATGGCAAAATTGTATTGTAAGAAAGGCAGAGCACATTCTTCCCTGCCTTGTGATCTTTAAAGGTTGTGACTTTCCACCCACTTTCTATCCCAGGGACTTCAGAGTCCTCTGGGGAAGACTAAGGGGCTGTATCTGACATGATCCCATTCAATTCTGCTTTTCTGCCATCCTCACACGTTTCCTTTTTTTCCTTTATAGCGATAACTCCTTTCCCTTTCTCTGTATCATCTCAACCATCGGCCAGTTTTCATTTTACCTCTCCTTCACCAAATCCCAAAGCCTCAACTTCAGAACAGCCCTCCCATTCAGCCACAAGAAAACCACAAGAAACTTGTTCCTTAGCATGTGTGGGTATCAGGCAAGAGTGAAATTAAGGAGTTTAAGACCAGAAGTGTGAGGGCAGTGGTGTCAGGGGGAGGAAAAAGACCACGAAGCCAGATCTCTCTGGGTTCTAAGGGATGTGGCAACGGGAGGAAGGAAGGAAACTGGGGCCCAAGTGCTTTGGTGCTGGGCCCTTGGTGAGAGTGGTGCCTAGCAGCACAGTGCTTGGGTCTCTGGGGTAAATGAGCAGTGGAGAGAAAGCTAGTACTGGAGCTTTCTAATGGCTGGGGCTAGGCCAGATATCTGAGACTGAGTCCCTAACCTCCCACCCCCTGCAATTTCAGACAGTGATGAGGAAGGATTAAGATTTTATTTACAATTCCCTGGAAAGTCTTACAGAAGAGAGGCCATTATTATTGCTTTAAGATTATTGCCAGAACTAAGCCTGCAGTCCTCCAAAGCCAGGTAGAAGTCCTGGCTCAAAAGTCTATCCCCAGACCCTTTTATGTTAGCCCCGGATCCCTGGTTTGACCGAAGGGCTGTCACTGTTTCCTGTGACGCACAGCCCGACTGCTTTCCAAGGACTGCCCTGGCCCAGCTATACATCTGCCGTCGATTTTCTCTCGACCTTTGTCAGAAACAATGTATTAGCACTAATTCCAGTCTTAAGCCCTTCTTCACCTCCTGGCTGGGAGGCAGGGTCCTTTGTTCCTAAAGATTATCATGTAGTTCCCGCCAGGACCAGCCTGGCTTCCTGTGTGCAGCATAACGGCATATCGTAAGAACCCCACTTTCCTTCGTCCCAGATGACGTCACAACTCGTTAGGTGAGTACCCCTTGATGACATTTCAGGGGCCACTTTTGAGGTTCTCTGCGTTTCTTGTGTCTACCGTTTAGCTTTTTTTTTTTTTTATCCCCTCGGCTATTGGGGTAAGAGAGAAAGAGGGGAGACCAAATGGCAGAGGGGATTGCCCAGTAGCTAGCTCATGCCTGGTATTAGCAGAAAGGCCTGGAAGAACGCAGCAGGGAGCGGCGGACTACTTTTCCTCTCAAGCCCCACTGCGGAAGGATATGGCTTTGTTCATGCGTGTAGATTATCGAAGCCGGAACTCGTTAGTGGGCGGGACCACTTGGCTCTGGCAGCTGCGTGGAGGGATCTGGAGCTGGAGGGGTTTGGCTTCGGGGAAACAGTTCTGGGTGGGCAGGGGTGCAGCGGCTCCAGATTTGGGTCTCTGCGCCCCCGACAGACTATTTCTTGGAATGTGGTTTGTTCCCCAGGAGCCCGTCTATCTCCATAACCGTCTGCGGGGTCAGCTGGCTCAGCACCTGGAGGAGGATGGGGTGGTCACTGAAGAAGGTTCTGAAGTTTGAGGGCCTGAACTTAGAGGACCCAAGGGAGCAGCACAGAGGGCCAAGGGGC